GCCCTGCCGGGCAGCACAGCTAAGAAAAGGCGTCAAAAAGCGGAAAAGGCGTCAAAACAAAAACAGGGCGACACTGCGGGAACTTTATTCTTTCCAAGGTTAATTAAAACGCTGGAACCATTTTAAACATCCACAGGATTTAACGGAGATCGTGCATGTGCTACCACTGCTGAATGGGCGCAGCTACCAGGCTAGAGCCAAGACAGCTGCACTACTTCGAAAGCGTCCAGACCTCACATAAATAGCCAACAGTCAATATACAAACTACCTTCACAAAACATCGTATGTAATTATTACGTACAGTTTAGGTCAGTCCCACATTCATATTTTGGTATCAAATACACAAAGGTTTGGCTTTGACAATGAAGCAACTAGAGCTACATCTTTAAATTTCTCAGAACGAGAGCTATTTAAAAGCAACTGCTTATTTAAACACCAATACCTCACACGCCTCCAAGGTCTTCTGGCACAGGCTTCTGCCTGCCTCAAAAACAGCACGCCGGTGCTCCTTCATGAACAAATGCATGACTAGATCAGCCAAGACTAGGCTCCAAGAGTCGAGATTGATGTCATTGCCACAGAACTAAACAGTTGTCTCTACAAGTAAATGCCTTTTGGGTCTCCTCTTCTCTTCCATGTCATTCATTGAGACCGATAGGGTATGACACAGCTGAAGTCTCTGCTCATCAAGGTGACAGTTAACTGAAGTCACTAGTTCACCTCTTAAGAAAGATTCCAGAAACTAATCACAGTAAATGCTTTTCTTCCGTTAGCATAACTCATGAAGCCAAGCACTTCTTATGAGCTCAATAATCAGCTGCAGTTCCAAGGGTGAAGCATGTCTTATGCTACAAAGTTTATTTAGAAAGCAGAGCTTGTTGCAGCCTCATTGCCTTAGTGAACACCTTCAGTGACTAGGTTCCCAAGATTAAATGTGTAACCTTACATATTATGACCAATAACATTGATAAGTGTGCACACAAACTGAGAAACTGAGTCTTTATTTGGCTATAAATGCAACAAGACTGAAACCTATTTCATAACTCTGAACACCAGCGACATCACCCTACGGAATGCAAAAAGCCTTTTCTGCTGAATGCCTCCTTACAACCAGTCTCTTAAGAGACTAGAGCTACTTATTGGCTGAATGAGATGAAGTTGAAAAGAGGTATCACCAGGAAAACTGTGGTGTTTCCAACAAAAGAGTATTTTTCCACATACAGCAGGCTGTCCCACCACCCAAACAAAACTGCTATGCTGCAAAACAAACATTTTCTCAAATCACGATTCCCGTACAATCATCATCCTAATTCCAAGTTTATATTGAAAAAACAAGGCTCCTCATACACTCGACTTCTGAAGTATAATGTAATTCTAGTCAGTGCATGAGCTAGGTTTGGGAGACCAAACTGAGTGGAATTAAACAAATCTCCAACGGCCACGCTAAGTAATTGTCAACAAAAAACGCTAAGTAATTGTCAACCTATTGTAACCTAGTTCCTATAATATATTAGTTTTAACACTGGGCAGGAAGATAAAAATAACTGCCAATCTCTGCCCATTCAACAATAAAAAATACAGACAAAGAGTGGCAGAAAAGGAGAAACCATCACAGCATGTATCTTTATTTTTTTCTTTTTTTATATGTAATTATAGGGATTGGCATAAAGGATCAATTTTACTATTCATTTGAATAAAGCATGATACCAAAGAAAAAGTTTCAAAAAAAAAAAAAACCTTTCACAAAAGTTACTTGTATAACGGCAGCAGAACTAATACATGATGGAGAATTTACATGAATTAAATGCGAGAAGGGCCATTCTTAAAGTTTTATAGGAATATCAGTTAAGAATACATGCAGAGAGAAGTAAACAGACTTACATGGTTAAATCACTTGACCATGAGGAGAGGTTAGGTTAAAATATAGTAAGTGCATGTTGCACTTACTATGCATGCACAGCTGTTTCATTTCCCAACTTAAAAAGATGCATAATTTGTCTTAGAGATGTTAAATGCTGCTAATAATGTCTTACAGTTGCAAATCTGTGTTTTCTTTACAATAAGCACTTGCATCATTTCAGCACTGGGGGAAGGAGCGAGAAGCAGGGGTTTTTTTGTTTGTTTGTTCTATTTTTAAGTGAAACATCCTCTCCCCAGAAGCTATACACTGAAGTATTATGTGCCTCATGTTGCTCTGTTTATTAAACCTGCAGTAATCTGGCTTACTACTAGCAGTCATATTTAATTATGTATTTATACACTGAAATCCATACGAAATCCCAAAAATACAGCTGTATATCCATTCTGATGCAGTAGAATCATGCATAGCGACTCAGAATGTCCTTCCGCTAATAAGCGGATATATTTTTGCTTTTGGAAATGTGAAGGTTTCCAAGTTTTCCAAGAGGAAATCTATTTGGAGAACTGTTTTTGAAGTTTAAAACACCTCAAAGGTCTGCCTTTCAACCCAGGCAATGATCGGAATCCAAAAGCTTTAATGCAGGGCAGTCAACATCTCTTGTTTTAATAGATGATGCGTACAGAATAAAGGATTCCAATACAGCAAGGTAGCAAAAAAAAAGAAAAAGCAGCAAATGCTACCTTCTGCACAACATTTTTAAGGAAAAGTAAGAGGCCTTTCTTACAAGTGGATAGTAAAAAAGGTTGGTTTGTTTAGCTTAATAAAGGCCAATACAACTGCATATAAAAGTACATAAGAGGAAAACATGGTTAAAAGAAAACAAAACTCTCTGAAACTGAACTATCCTGCTCATCCTCTCTACCACAGAGCAGGTGGAGCTAAATCAGCCACTGAGAAACTCCAATATGTTAGAAATTACAAGTTACAAAATCCTCCCAGCTGTTTCACAATAGTCTTCCAGTAACTGGAAAGGCAAAGGTCTACTAGCTTTTAAAATGAAGCTCAATCAGTTTATGAAGTGGATTACATGAAAACTGAGCTAGACAATCAGAAAGCCACTTATACTCCTGTCTTCCCCAAAAAGTAGAACCATAATGCAAAACAGACTTTGGTTTCTGCCAAATCTACAGGTTAAATGCATAACAAACAAACCAACCAACCAACCAAGATCTGCCTCACAGTCCACAGCATTTTGCAAGTAACATTAGTAATGACAAAACAAATCAAACATCAATGCACACAGTGATGAAAAAAGTTACGTTTTTCCCCATGACAATCTTCAGAGTATATACCCCAGGCAACCAGTCACATATAACACTGTGACCTGAAGTAAGCATAAGACTTGCACTCTTAATAAAAAACTGAATTATTTCCCCATAACAGAAATATATGACAAACTGCAAGATATTTAAATAATTCAAATGGTTGCTTATAGAAATATGGATCCTGCCTCCTTTATTACCAAAGATTTTCAGTGGTTTTTACCTGTGAGCGATTGAGAACATTTATTTAAACCCTCTGTCTTATACAGCATATGTATATATTCGCATTTCAACATTGTAAATACACAACTAGGCTGCAACATTTCCATGGGGGGTGGGGGGAAAAAAATCGCTTTTTCTTGCTAGCTTTGCAGTCAGAAATAGCTGCTCCTCATTATCTGGGGGCATGGAATCATTTTTACAGTTTACTTGAACTAAGCATAGACCAAAATATGTCATTTGCTGGGAGAGGAGGGGGCTCTTCCTTCCAGCTCTACGATACAAACAAATGATAGAGGGTGCAGTATGGTCACAAACAGCTAGGAACGTCAGTTAAGCACCAGTTTCACTCCACACTAAGCAAGCATAATACAGTGATGGGTCATGTTTTCACATTATTTTGATGGAGAAAGGAATCATTTTCCTACAAAATATTGAAGATGTTTTTCTAATATAGGCTTTTATATTATTTGCAGTCAAGAAGCAGATTACAAAGTCCACATTTACCACATTATATGACACTAGGTCCTCTGTTTAGTATATCAGTTTCTCAGCAACTCAAGGCTTACTAGATTCTTCCCATTGTTTTCTTTCTGCTTCAAGTCCCAGTCTTGACTTGCTGTAAACTCAAAGGAACCAAATCATCCTCAACTGTTGAAGAAACAACCACTTTCAGAAAAAGTTCCTTTGAGATAATGCTATTTTGGAAGAATAAATGGCCATATCAATCATATGGTTTCAAATCCTTGGAAATTAGTGGCTCAGTATCTTCAGTCATACTTTGTGCAGGCTGCGGGGCCACAACAGCCAGACTCTGTATAGTTTCTTGCTGATGCTGCTTTGCCTTGTTATATAGTAGAACTCCAATTGTCACTAAAACAGTCCCAATGGCCGAGAGGCTTGTGATTTTGTTACCAAACACAATAATACTTAGCCAGATTGATAGCGCATGCTTCACAGTACTAGCAACACTGGAAAGGAATATAAAAGTTAAGGCCCAATAAAGGTTTCTCATATCCCACACAACTTATTCTTCGTGCTCTAATGTAGCGGGACATTTTTGTTTTGCTTCTTTTTTAAACACTAAATCCGATTCCATCTTCCCTACTTCAGCTAATGCCATAACCAAACTGCTTATATACTGACACTAGTATCTTAACTCTAAAATTAAGGTAAGTGTAAATACAAATAACTTGCTTCTCCAAATAGGTTTTTGTTTTGGTTATTTTTAAGCATGCAGTACAGTGTCAGCAATTTGTTTCTGGCTAATGCAGACACCCAGAAATACCAACAGACATAACTATACATTTTTATGTGCATTGTTACTATTCAGTATTCACATAGTATTTATAACCTGAAAAGAACCAAACTGTAACCCATACCAATAACATTGTAACATACAGTTAAGGAATTTTTTATTTACATAAACATGCATACATGCTTTTACATGCTGGTGTTGTGTAGGTAGAACTATCAACTTGCAAAACGTGTGGAATAGCAAACTGTCATGGGACTGCAGCAGTGACACATGAGAGCGTAAGACAGGAAAAGCCTTGAAAGTTTAGCATGACCCTGCATGCCCCAAGGCTATTCATACAAGTGACCAGTTACTGAATAAGAATTGTCTAAGGGTCTAACAAACCTGCAGTATATATCTGACAGTATAGGTGGAGCTGTCTTTAAAGCCTAAGTAAAAATACGACAAACAACCCCTTGTGCTGGTGCCATGCTTCAGAAACAAGTATGCAGAACTGATTGCTCATGTTCTGCACTGCACTGCTACGTATGCGAGTATTGCCTTACCATCATTCAAGCAAAAGGAAGTTTAATGTTTGGTCTAAGGTTCTGCTGATTCTCCTCCGTCTGGTTAACCACCTTTAAGGAATAGCTGTTAAACCTGAATGCAGCACTCCTGCTAGTAAACATGAGCACCTACTCCATCAGCTCAACAGCCTGAGTCAACAGCTGCTTTCCTCGTGCAATGAGGGAGAATGAAAAAAGTTTTGGTGGTATGTAGGATCTGACATGTTTTCTTCTTGCATTTGGTGTATTTGTACACTTACATTACTTATTTGAACAACACCTTTACTACCTAGACCCCAAGCAGGAGGAATACTAAGAAAAGAATAATGATCTTGACATGATTTTTTTTACCTGAAAGTCACAGGAGAAATTTTTCCCATCAAGGCATAGGCTGTAACACTTTGCAAGTGGAACAAGACTCCATCTATTAAGAGAAGTACAATGACATCTTGGTTGTAGCTGAAGCTCCTTCCGCTTTTCCCAATTACTGGCACATCCTAAACATTAAAAAAAAAAGAGAGAGGATTTTAAGACTCTATTTTATAAACAAATCTAGAATTGAATTTCCCCCCCAAGTATGAAAAACAGTCATTATTGTTATTGGACCTTTTTTTTTCCAATCAAAATTTCAGCAAAACAAAGACTAAAACATGCAGGATGTCTATATGCTCAAAATATGATTTTCCCTCCAAAAGAATACACTGGAAACCCAGATCTTAACTGAACTTTCCTGTGTGCTCTGCTCATCTGTGACATATTTTCTCCTTTGAACACTGACACATGACAAGACAAGGATTCAAACATATCCTCTGACACATTATACTTAACTCTCTGAAAGCAAAATGGAGATGATGTAATACTCCCATATACCATGTGAATACAAGGAAAAGGTCAACAAGTATTTAGCATTTATTATTAAGTCTTTACCTGAGACTTTAAATGCACCAATAAGACAAAATTATTCCCCCCCCCGCCCAAATCCTGAAATAAAACCATGCTTTCTGGATCACTTGTCAGCTCATGTTTATACTGAACTATTTATTTGAACATTTTTTTTCCAATCTCTTGCAAACAGAAGATGAAATGCATTCCAGGGTGATTTTAAAGAATAGGAAGGTTGAAAGGTAAGCCTAAGGTTAACCATATGCTCGCAAGTCAAAAAGAAAACATACATCAGTGTTAGCAAATTCAAATTACCATAAAAAATATCCAAGCTGGAATAAGCATAACCACTGCAGCAGCACTGGTATAGAACTGAAGCTCTGGGGCTCTACAAAGGAAAAAAAAAATTAGTAAAAGCTTCCACTTCATTAGAACTGAAGAAAGCTGCATCAAATTTAAATAGAAGCCTCATTATTGTATTTACAGCCATCAAATGGTAATACTGAAAAACCATCTACCAAGCATTGGGGACAATAAATTCAATAATCTCTTGGAAAGACAGTATTTTGCTTTCCAAGCTAGCTGAGATGCATTGAAGATAAAAGGCAAACGTGTTCAAGAGCATACTTGGCGTTTTCTAAATCTGCAGCTATTTCTGAAAAAAAATATACATTTTTTTTTAAATGGAATGTGTCCTTAAACAAACAAACAAAACACAGAGAACATATTTTTAACCACAATATCTTGCTGCTGGTTCACATGTTTCATAGTTAAAATGTGGAGCAGGTACTGAAGGTTGCTTCTCCAAGACTAATAACGTTAAAGGAACTTTTATGATTGCAGCATAAGGACATATTTCTGTGAAAAGATGACTCCTTTTGGGTATGCTGAGAGAGTTTTAGCTGATCATGAAACTCCCCCCTACCATAGTGGGATCTGAGAATACATGAGTTTTTTTTTATTTCCCTGATAAAATGATTTAGACTAAAACTGCAAACGGCTTAAGGAAAATAAAATATCCTAGTCCAATCTAATCACAACTATCGGGTTTCCTTATGCAGCCCAAGGTCCTTCTCTTAACAAGAAATTTGAATTAAATACTTACGAAAATCTGTATTTATCTCCACTGAGGAGTTTTTTGGAAAAGACATTTTGCAAACTGAAAAAGAAAAAACCCCACACATTTACCTGTAGATTTTAGATATAACAAACAAATCAAACCGTGAGACAGACGGTTGTTTCTTTTAGAATACATTAGATAACATCTTCTACACAATTTTTATTCACATTACCAAAGCTCGGTTTGAATTCTATTTTCTTCTAAAAACTCCATGGATTTAAACAAAGTATTTTAAAGGAGGATTCATAAACAAACGTATTTAGGGAAAAAATTCCAGCACACACCTTTGCTACTTTAGCGCACTTAACTACTCTGTAACACACTTTTGAACTTTTACTTTCAAGGTACAACGTGCCTCTTTTTGAAGCAATGGTATTTTGTGTTCGTCTGTTAGGATTATTACATAAAAAGCACTAACCTGCTCTGTGTATTTGATGTAAATATTGTTATACTGCATGTGAAAAATGTTCATTTAATTTCTTCACAGCCTCTAAGTTTTGACTTTCAGAACCATCTATAGCCTTTGTGCTGAAGTTGAAACAATTTAGATCCTTAAATTATCGGTTGTTTAAGTAGAAGACAGAAGCATAACACTCCTTTTCCTGGCTTTTGTTATTCAACCACACATTCACAAACTGAAACAAGTATTGCACACTCTATATGTAAAAATATAAGGCACTGCCAAGAGCACACAAATAAACAAAGTAGTGTATGAGCACTGTATTTTTTTTTTTTAAATTGAAACCACTTAAAATAAGAACAGCACACTTGATTTTATTTTAATAAAACATGCACAGTCCTCTCTCATGCCTGAACCTGTATTTTTTAAGACTGCAAAGGGTACAATGTTAAAATAAATTACCAAATCCAGAGCCATAGAGGGAGACCACTCACCCAGTCTACCTAACTTTACACAGAAATATTCAAACTAAATTTAGATCTAAACCTAGGTTTCATAGCATGAAGCTTTTCTCTCACACTTTAACTCACTGATAGCATACCACATTTAAAAAACAAAAACCCCACACCTCTCGATGACCTAAGCTCAGTTATATTTCTATCCCTAGAACATGCTCATCTGTTCTTTCTGAAGTCTAGAATACTAGACTAGAAGACTACTATAGAAGACTAGCACTCTTCTACAGTACTTCTTGTGTATATTTTTTTTTCCTGTAGCTGGCAAGTTTAGCATATTTCTTAGTAACATTTTAACATAATAGGGTCCTTACCATTCAATTTCGTCTGTAATTAGAACTCAGTTTTTAATTTTGCCCCACTTCATCTAGCAGTTGCAGGGGAAAGCTTTCATAATCTACTGACATACTAGCGGTTCACAGGTTTGAGCAGCAGAGTCAAGAGTTCTGAATAAAGATTATACAACTACAGATGCTTTTGGACCAAAGTCGTACTATTCTTTATCTCACGAATGCTAACAGATATGGTTTGTCACGCCAAAAGTAACTGTATCTTCAGTTAAAAATAATTTTTAAAAACAAAAGCTTAGATGTAGTGTACAAAAACAATGGCAGGCAATAGTTTTCTTCAATCTACAAACAAACAAGATTCCTCTATTCCACACATGCAACTTTTATTATGCCTTACCAGTCCATAATATTGGTAGATAAAGCTGCTGAGAAACCCAGAATGTTGAAACTGATTTCAGTAGCTGTACATAGAGCTAGCCCGCCCATAACAGGGATGAGAGAAAGATTAACCAGCAATCCTGCAAATGAAAAGAAAGTTTAAAATCTCTGTTTAATTACTGTACTTCCAATGCCACACACCAGATAATACAGTTAGAAAAAGTTTCAATTCCAGCTTAGCTTCTTTAGTTAAAAGAAAAAGAAAACTTATTTGATAAGATTTTAAAATTACAGAGGTTCTAAAGTGAGATCTCAAACAGTAACAATGTTCTCTGGAAGACAATATGGATACGTATTGACTGATGAAAATATCTGCCTTGGAGAAGGAAAATGGACTGATGCCCGTTTTCATTTTAGCTTTGTCATCAAATGGCAGAAGACAATAATATTCACCCTGCTTACTCTGTGATTGGACTAGTTTTCCTCTGGTGTATTTCAGCCTTCTGCCATTTGGGCTTTGCATCAGAAAAAACTGTGAATGGCTTCCGTATTAGTCCTATGACTTATAGCTGGTTAGAAGCAAAATCTCTGCAAACAAATAGCCTCAAGCATGCAATCACAAGTGGAATTACAAGTAAATTATATTGTGGATCTGAACTGTGGAAAGTCAGCTTTTATTCTTCAGCCACAGAGTGAACCCTGTAAATAAATTCAGGATTTTTAAATTCAGATCAGCAAGCCGTCCTCAGAAAAAGAAACACACAGAACGATTTAAGGCTGCAATGGTATTTCTTGACAGAAAAAGAACTTCAAAACAAAATTGCCCTTACATAGTTGCATTGAAACAAATCCTTTTTCACTTGTACATACTCTATTTACTGCGTTCATACAGAGCAATTCTTCCATTTACATCAAATTACTTACTACATTCTGGCAGAATCTCCCCGCCAAGGCCAAATAACCCACAGCACTACACAAAATGATCTTGTTTTAACAGTGAAGTACTTACCAGTGTATTCCCCTAATATCATTCGGGACATGATAACAGTAAAAATAGGTGCAGAACTTTTAACTGTTTCTGCAAATGAAACGGCCACATTTTTCAAGCTGACAAGCCCTAACACTACCGTTGCAAATCTGTAAAAGAGAAGAACATATGAAGTTAAGCAGAGAATAAAATAATGCTTAAGCATCTACTTTTAGCTATCCAGCCTAGAAAATGTATAAAATTGAACTACAATAACTAAAAACATGGATGGCCGTAGCTAGCAAGTTACCAAAACTTGATAGCTTGATTGAACTGCAGTAACTGACCAGCTACACACTTCTAGTCCACAGCACCTGCAAAGCATAATGCATCAGATCTATTCCCTTCTGCAGCGGCTTAAGCATCCATACTTATTTAGCATGAATGAAGGCACACTTGGGCAATAATCATGTGCAGTTTTTAAGGATGTACAGCAGACCTCTAAAAATCCATAAAGCTTACTCTTTAAGTCACTCAATAATCAAGCCTCAGATGAGTGTTTTAAGCTAAGATTTTTAGTAGGCTTAAGTTAAAATCAGTTAACACAGTTCTACTGATAAACAGTAATTTGCTAAGGAAACTTTAATTCTTGCAGCCATCCATCTGTACTGTAAGTTAGGTATGCTGAACATTTATTCATACTTCAAACCATGAAATTAACCAGCAAAGCTGCAGAGTTATTAAGATAAAGCTGCTCTGAATTAATATGAATGCTGTTATCCTATTTTTGCAGTGTAGAGGGGAAAAAAAACCCACACCAAACCATATATTCTCTCCTAAATCACGGACTGATGCTATCCCACCATAGAGCAAACACTTTTAAAAGGTAAACATTAACAGTCTGTATCACCTTTGAGAAAAAAGGCTGGAAAAGGTGACAGAACAATGTAACATCATAAGAAATACTACTACACTAAACAAATGTCAGCCTTAAAAGAGAACAAGAAATAACAGCAAATTGAAAGATGATGTTAGAGAATAGAGTATGTCTTAAGAGAGGCCAGCTGTGATGGAACACTAAACTAGCCCAAAAACTGGCATTTGGAAAAAGAAAACTAGTAGTTAGGAGAAAGAAGCAAGAAAGAAAAGGAAGAGAGCCATGAAAACATAGGTTCTGTACAGAATAACATAATGAGACAACCAGAGAAAGCTCTAGGAAATATTTAACCGTTTACCTCATTAATCCAACAAACAGCATTATCATAATGAAATTTGGTGGATACGAGATACGTGTTTTGTGCTGGTACAAACAGCATGGAACAAACATTTTAATGCAGCCAATGAAGGTGGTTGAAAGCATTTGAACAGCACCTAAAGAAAGAAAGGGAAGAAAAAAAAAAAAAAAAAGACGATGGAAAGAGAGAGACTCAAGCAACGTGAGAATCTGTAGTATTCTTAGTAGTTAAGAAATATAGCAATTATCTAAGTTTTATGAATTCACACAAAAGCCCTTTTACTTCTACATCTACCAGCAAGGCAGCAGAATATATGTGTATGCCACCTTTACGCTATAAAACCTGACACACAGATAAAATTCCCTTTGTTTCTCCCTTAAAAAAAAAAAAAGGCAAAACAAGCCCAACAGATAACAGTGGGCACATAAAGGCAACGTTTGCATTTCTACAAACAAGTTAATCTTAAGAACTCTGGAAACTATCAATTAACTCAAGAGTTGATTTTCCTAAAAACTCACACTATCCTACAACACAGACAACAGAAAATTTAATTACATTTTTCTTTCCAGCACTTAGTTTTCAAACACCATGCTCCTCTATGAGCAAAGTTTCATTCTGTGTTTCAGAGGCTAGAGGGACAAGGGGAGGAAGGAATAGTGTCAGAACCCCCTTTAGAGCCAAGGTTACAACTTACAAGTTCCCAGCTCCAAGATCTAACCTTCCCCCTCCCCCCCCCCCCAAAACCAATCACCTAGCAAACTCTTTTTCACTTCAGGTAAACCATTTACTCCCACAACTTTACATAGGAGCATCTGGTATTGTCAAATATCTCACTGTAATTAAAGCATCAAAGAAAGATAAGGTTACCTAGCATGCTGGGCTCTCCTTCCAGTAATGAGAGAATGTATTTGTTAAGAAAAAGAGTGCAAAAGCTGAAGAAAAACCACAAAGTGAGGTAGATGAGAGCATGAGAATTCCAGATGCCCAAGTCTGACTCAATGACTGTTGTCTCAGTGATAGTTATTTTCAGAACATTCTCCTCTGGTACACTATCACTCCTAGCAATTACAAATTTTTCACTCCTGTTAGCAAAGAATGAGCCCAGTTGAAATAATGCTTTTTCCTTTGGCTTTTCTTCAAGGAGGGGAGGATTAGATTCCTCCAGGGTCTGAGTACTTGCTACAGTCGACATGCTGACATTAAGAGACTAGCGTTTGTCCTTAATACAAAGCAACGTTGACTAAGTACAGAGTGCCACTTCAAGGAAACAAAAAATACGTGATTAATCTTTCATCTCCAATGGCCTGTAAAAGTGTATTTGGTCCTCCAAATAAGATCTTGCAAAAAATAAACTTCAGATGCTTCTTCATGTGGTCTATTCCAATTTTTCTGCCTGAGAATGAAAAAAAAAAAAGAGATAAAAGGAAAACAACATGTAGCGCTGAACATAATGACATTTAAAATCCCTAACACAGCAAGAACACCACATTTCACTGTCAGTTTATTAAAGATACAAAGCCTTTTGTAGCTTGTCCTTCAGGCTGTACTTTGCCCTGCTAATACGATCATGATACCAAGATGGAGGACTAAGAACTTACCAACTTACCAGAGATTTTTTATTCTAAGCATACACATGCACATGCACACACACAGAGAAAGATTTTCTGTTCTTAAGTTCTTTCTCCATCTAAAGTATGTCAACACAGCCTTTTCAATTATAAATAATTCTTCTTCAAGATTCTACAGTCATCTTTGTCTCAGTGTAGGGTCTCCTTATAACCACTCAAAAGAAAAGTCTTCATAACTCAAACCTGGGCAGAAACATACACCCTTAGTACTACTTACGCTCTTACCATCATCTTGAGTTAAAGTGAGCTATCAGTAATCAAGGACTGTAACTTCCAGAAATCATAAACATGCATTTAATTTCTGCTGTGCTAGTAATTCTATTAATTCTTCTGAAGTCACGTAACGTTAGCATTATAATACTAAGATTCAAAGTCCATACTATGAGGGAAAAAAAATCGTATCTGAGCAGTTTATCTGCAACATTCAAACTTATGATTGTACTTATTGCTTTCTATTTTGCAGTCTGTGTTTCAGGAACAAAAGAACACAGAATGAGACAGATGAGAAAGAAGTGACAGACAATCTCTTGCTTCTCAATGAAGGAGCACTAAAGGAAATTAAATTTGGAACACTGTTACCTATAATCACATTTGTTAGATGAATGAGATGGTGGACCTTGCAGAGTTAAACAGTTATTCAGCTGCTTGAAATGAGACCATAACACTACAGCGTATCAAACAATGGCAGCACAGAAAGTTATGAATGGCAAGCAAAAATATAGGAGTTCTAACAACAGCTAATACACTTGCATTGAATTTATTTTATCATGTTTGCTAAGGTTAATATGATATACTTTTTCTTCATGTTTTTTTTAAATGTCCAGTGCAACATCCCCCAAAAATTCTTGAAGACATACTAAAGAGTTAAATTTCACTGTCACTTTCAATATCCTAAACAGCAGCTACTCTACACTGAAAAGTTCCATTCCTCAGGTATTACATTTCTGTTATTATAGTCATGCACAGATGGCCTTCATCCCTATCCCCTTATCCTTTTCCACTATTTTTATCAGTAAATCATGCTTGCAGCACACTGAGATACAATGCCTTTTGATACATTCACGTTAATCCATATACTCAGGTTAACCCAGTTTAAGACAGACCTAGTCAATTTAAAGGAGGATACGCATTCTTTAAGAGAATTTGATAAGAAATTGATCCTTGATCTTGATCAAGGATCCTTGATTCTTCCTTTTTCAGGTCTTAAAAAAAATTTCCCTGTACATTCAAAGTGATTAGTGTTATCACAACTTTGTTAATAATTATTCAGTTTATACTGCTCTATTAAAACCAAAAAGCAATTATGCATAATAAATCACTCGGCCTCAGCAGCACTGCTAGGTCATATACGATATCACTGACTGCACACACGGCAGCAAGTAGAACAGCAATTAAAACTCTGGTGATCAAGAGCTAAGAAAAACCCACACTCCCAAATTACTGACCTGCTGTCTAAAATCAACTGGAAAGTCTTAAATTGGCTGAAAGAGTTCTTCATCTGGGACTAATTCAATCTTCTTCCCTTAAGACCAACCAGTAGCTGATGTTTACCAATAGATGAAAATGTGGCAGCGGTTGGTAGACTCTTTCTGTTGGATTATACACGAACACTGAATCTTCCAGCTCACAAGAATAAACAGCATGCAGTGCATTTTACACTGTTCTTTGCATCTTCTCTCATCTTTACTATATTAGGAATAAAAAAAGTTGTAGCAAAGGTGAAAAAAAAAATCCACATGGAGTATAAGCTTTGAAAGACTCATACAAATCCTGACTGCACAAGAAGTAGCTAATTACCAACCAATCTGACAGCTCCCCAATTTCATACGCATGAAGACACCAAATTTGTAAGACTACTGCATTCAAATTCATTTTCCCTTTCTGCTCCTAACAGCTCAAATTTTATTGGAAATACATTATCTTCAAGCTTAAAACAGGAGCAGAGTATCAGCCTTTTCTCAAAGAAGCTAAGGGTGAAGAAAATAAAAGACGACATTGTCTGAAAATGCTTTTAAGCATCTAGTTTTTATTTAAAAATATTATTGTCCCTTCGGTTCTTAACAGAGTAGTCATACTAGGAAGAGAAAAACTGTACTGATTCCTTTATTGGAGACTTGCATCAGATTCAAACTTACTCGTTCTTGGTTTGATTACTGAATCGCTGACATTATTTTCTATTGCATGCAAGTGGCCTTCTTGGGAACAAATATCATCTTGCTGCCAGCCACACTGCATGAATATATAGAAGTGACAGCTATCTGTACAGTGCTTTTGTGGAAATGATGCCACAATGTAATGAACATTTCAAAACTAGCAGCAGCTCAGGATTAGCACTCACTCCTGCTAAAATAGCTGTTTGCGTGGCCGTTCACTAGACCAAACTGGGGAAAATGCCCTTGAAATTTAAGGCTGCAGGAAAAAGGTTACTCCTAATCCATGTCAGGTCCCCAGTACAGTTTACCCCCTTCATTATAACAGCAGTAGAATGTCACTGATTGTTTTCTGCAAGCCTCAGAAGAAAAGACACATCAAGTTTTGCAAAAAATAAAGCGCAGAAGCAACACAAGTTATCAAGAGCATGCTCAATGCACTTTGCACCAGCTCTTCTGTAAGAAACGTTTTCAAAGTAAACTGTAACATTCCACACTAAAGTAAAGTAAAAGAGGAAGAGAACAAACAATAAGTAGACCTCACATAGGGTTTTACCACAACACATTTTTCTAACACAGTTTAAAAGCAAACAAATTCTCCTTTTCTGAAGGGGAGGTGTGCGTTGTGTCCCCCTCCCCCAAAGCTTCAGAGATAGAAGGATGAGGGCAGCTTGTGGAAACCCAGTTGCAAGCACTGAGCAATATTACAACAGGGCCCTGAAACATTCCACACATGACCTTCAGTGAGGTTTTCTGCAACAGACCTACAGATTAAGTAAGGAGAGCCAGCTGAGCTGTCTTCACCCAATTCTAAGAACATATAGTAATCTCGTTTAAAAGTAAGTGCAAAGTGATAACGTTAAGAGTCTGTTCAGAGCTGACTTTGATAAAAATCAAAGAGAGATAAAAATAACCATATTCAAAACCAATCTGGGTATCAAATTGTTTTTTTGATATTATTATTTGATGACATGTTTCCAAAATTGTCATCAATAGTATTCACTTAAATTAACTATTCATGAGAATCTAGAGTTTAACCCTAATTTTTAAGGGAGGGCTGAAAACAGAAAAAGCCAACACCACAACTGTTCAATGTACCCAGACATTTTGCCTACAACCAGAAGACTACAATTAAAGATAACACATACAGTGACAAAAGACAAAGAAGTCCTGTGAAAGAGGAAATATAGTACCTTTTAAAAGTTACATATATTTCATCAAAACACAGTGAAAATAAAATACATTATTTCCGGCACTGCTGATTCTGTGCTTTTAACTATGTATTATAACTCTGTTTTATGCACACAGTCCTTCATAAAGCATACTGAATATTTTTATTATCAAGATATATTCATTTGCAAGTGTTTGTCAGGTGCTCTGAAAAGTTTAATACAAAGTTCCTCTGTCACGCAGCTGATCTCAAAGCAGACACCCTTTGTTCAGAAGGTGTAATTATTTCTTATACAGCTTAGCAGTTTCTGACAATCACCATTACCTGTATGACACTGACAGTTCCTTACTGCATTCATTTGTCCAACTTCAGAAGCGCTCTAGGCTTTGTAACGACCGCCATCTAACAGTGAAGACAGAAAGTCCGTGCTACACCTTTCTCTCACTCCTTGTCCATAAGGACAGATATCTTCTTTTGACAACATCCACAAAGAATCCTATAAAGTCAGTCTTACATCCTGCAACAGAAAAATAAAAGCTCAAAGATGTTAAGACTAATCTAATGGTGAAAAACAAACAAGAGCTTCGTGTGCATACCTCTTAATCTACTAATCTACTGTTATGCAACAGAGCTCATTGCTTCTAAAGTGACAAAGGCACAGAAAGTAGCATCCCAAGTAAGCAGAAAATCTAAACGGTGTTTCATTATATGAAGATGAGGACACCCAAGACATTTATGAACACAAATTGTAAACCCAATCTCAAAGCTAGGAACATCTATACTAAATGCTAAAAGCAGATTTAAATAGCTTAATACTTTCTTGTACATCAGTTACATTTCTAGAAACCCAGTCCTCAGCTTCCCTCCACGTGAATTCAGGATCAGCTACCGTGCAGGCAGGTGCCACACATGTTTCTGTGTGCCCCAAGGCATCTCGGAACTGATCTTATCATTTCAAACACACTAGAAGCAGCCAGAGCACTGCGTATTTGGAGCATTCTCCATTCACGTTCAGAGACCTTCACAAGGCAGAGCTATACTATTTCAGTTCTGACCTGCTATCCCTGGTTTTCTGACCCAAGGATTTTCAGAGAAGAAAATTACAGCTGCAGTGAGTTAAAAAAGGAAATGACACAGTTACCCCTCTCCTAGGGACGAGATCAAGCTGAGCCAATACTTATGTGTTAAGTGCTCTTTAAAAAACAGCACTTTCACCTGACTTATAACACATTTTGAATCTTCTAAGTCAATACCAGCAGAGTCTGATTTTTTCTCTCACAGGTGGAAACCTGACAGTCCAGTGCAAAAAACTATGTAAGATATCACAGAGAACCTCGGGAGGCTTTTGAGCCCGTGACTGCGTGCTTCCAGAAACAGAGCACTCCCTGTCGCTCTTGGATTATCCTGGCCAAACCAGGCTTCGGCTTTTCCAGGCGCGACCGACCCTCGGAGCGGTGGCCATCCCCCCTCCCCGTGTCGCATCAGGGCACGGCACCCGCAGTGCGTGTAGGGGGAGGAATAAACGGGCCCACGCGGCCACGTCTCGGCCCGACCCCTGATCCCTCACCTGGGGGGGAGGCAGGGGGCTGAGCTGGCCACGGCCTGCCAAGCAGCTTCGGCCTGCCCGCAGCTAGCGGTGCATTCCCTCTTCCTACGTACTCACCCCACAGGCACTGGAATTGGTGACCAGGTCTGCTCCGATAAAAGCTCCCGATTCCCCTCCCCCCCCCCAGCAGCAAAAGCACCTCTCCTGGGGGAAGCTGTTCTGCAGGGGCGAAGATGCCTCCGTGGAAAAGCGCCTCACTCAAACCGACCGTGGGAATGAGCTGCGTGTGCGCGCATTCTGCACGGAAACACGTCAAGACGCCTGCATGCCCAGAAGGCTCACAGTAGGGCTACAAAACCTAACGTGACTTCCAGAGCAGGCAGCAACCAAGTTAACTAGCTTCTGCAGTTAAATGAGTTTTTTGGCTCTGTTACAAACTGCCCCCACAAGAGCCCCACTTGCTTGCGATTCTCGGGGCAAGTGAGCCCTGGGGAGCGGAGATTTCAAAAACAGCTTCTGCATTATAGATGCAAATGGAAGGGTAATGAATAAACACACACGCGAACTGCAGCTATGGTTTAAATGAAAGCTAGGCAACAGTCCAAAACCATGAGGAACACGCACTAAACCTGCTCACTGACACGCTGGGGGATACACAGATTACAGCACTGCTCGCGGTCCAGCCTCTTTTACAGCAGACACTGATTTGCGTGCGCATGAAGCGCTGCCCCTCTCCTGTGCCACCTTTGCCACAACAACCATTTGTTTAATTACCAACAACCATTTGTGGTCAAAGGGAGGACTGTAAAGGTGCAGGATGATTATTTAGCAGAGAGAGCGAGAGAGAGAGGAAAAAAAAAAGGCAGATTATAGCGAATGCAAGTCCACTGAGGGGGAATATTTGATTAAAAAAAGCAGTAACGTCCACAGGTGTTCAAATCCACCCAGACCTGTTCATCTAAGGACATGGGAACCATCGGACAGTTTCCTGCTGCAGTGCTTGACCCAGCTCCTCCACCAGGCCAAAGAAAATGACTGCAATTTAGCAGCTGTGCACAGCGCAGCGCAGAAAAGGCCCGCGTAAAGACACGCCTCCGAGGAGCGGCAAGAGGAAGAGAACGCACTAGCGGCAAACGAACGGGAAAGCGCTATTGTGTCGGTGCGGACGGACTATCTGCTGCGGGAGGAACAACCGCTGCCTGATCGCTGCGTGATGGTGTCCTCCCCCCGCCCCCCCGCAATTCCTCGCCGTCTCCTTTGCTTACGGGGCGGCAAGGCTGGCGCCCGCTCGCTCCAACGACGGCTCAGGCCCATTGGGGACGGGGAAGTGACGTCCCGGTTCCCCCCCCCC